ATATATATATATACATATACATATATATATATATTTACATATATACATCTCACACATATATATATATATATATACATAGATATCTAGCTATATATATATATACACAGTATATATGTATATACATATATATCGTACTATACTATATATATATATATATACATAATTATACAGATACTATATATATACATATATATATGTATTTGTATATATATAATCTAATATATATATATATAAATAACTATTCCAATATATGTATATATATCATATAATAATTTTCATTCAGCTTAGTCCCTTTATTAATCAGGGGTCGCCACAACAGAATGAACTGCCAACTTATCCAGTAATTGTTTTACGCAGTGGATGCCCTTCCTGCTACAACCCACCACTGGGAAACCCATACCCATACACTCACTACGGACAAAATAAGCTCACCCAATTCACCTGTACCGCATGTCTTTGGACTTGTGGGGGAAAACGAAGCACCCGGAGGAAACCCACGCCAACACAGGGAGAACATGCAAACTCCACACAGAAACGCCAACTGACCCAGCCGAGGCTCGAACCAGCGACCTTCTTGCTGTGAGGCGACAGCACTACCTACTGCGCCACCGCGTCACCATTATTATTATTATATATTTATTTAACATATATCTAGTTTTAATAAAAATATCTGACATTCATCTAACTTATCTTCTTATTTATGACATTAATCTGACATATATCTATGTTTGTAAGAATATATCTGACATTTATCCATCACATATCTATATTTATTATTATTATTATAACATATCTGACACTCATCTATCATATATCTACATGTATTATATCACACATACATCTATTATACACCACACATTTCAAAAGTTTAATAAACACCATATTAGACTGATCTAACAAGTATATGAGATATGTGTGTATATGAGAAGCAGATGTGTGTGTGTTTGTGTGTGCATTCCTCCATCAGCGTGTGTTAGATTAGATTAGTTAGTGAGCGGCGGGTCAGTAACTCCAGCAGAGAGAGAGAAAGAGAGAATAAGGGAAAATAAATCAAATAAATAAGTGCACAGGGGCGACACGGTGGCTCAGTGGTTAGCACTGTGGCCTCAAGGCGAGAAGGTCTGTGGTTTGAGTCCCGGCTGGGTCAGTTAGCGTTTCTGTGTGGAGTTTGCATGTTCTCCCCGTGTTGGCGTGGGTTTCCTCCGGGTGCTCCGGTTTCCCCCACAGTCCTAACACATGCGTTATAGGGGGAACTGATGAACTAAATTGACCGTAGTGTATAAGTGTGTGTGAATGAGTGTGTATGGGTGTTTCCCAGTACTGGGTTGCAGCTGGAAGGGCATCCGCTGTGTTAAAACATATGATGGAATAACAGGTGGTTCATTCCGCTATGGCGACCCCTGATTAATAAAGGGATTAAGCCGAAGGAAACTGATTGAATGTTTCTGTATGAATGTGTGTGTCTGCAGTGTTGTTTACCCCGTGGCTGGTCTTCCTCCTCCTCCTGTGGTTCGTCAGTGTCTTCGTCGGTGTGTGTGTGCTGCTCCAGAAGATCTTGTAGTGATGAACAGGAACATCAGACTCTGCAGGGAGACTCCAGTGGATGCGGAGCGATAGCAGACCGTCTGCACACACACTCATGTTCACCACACGCAGAGCAGACGGACAAGGAGGAGGAGACGGATCTGAGCACACACACACACACACAGAGAGAAGAGCAACATCAGGACTGAACACTTCTTACGACACAACACTCATTATTTACATGTAGTCATTTAGCAGACACTATTGTCCTAAACGACTGACAACTAAGGAGACATTCAGCAATTAAACAAGAAGAGGCAATACACACATGAAGAGCTGATTATACAGAGGAACTCAGAGAATTAAGCGCTGGAGTAAGGTGGAGAAAAGAAGAGTGTTTCTACAGGTGGTTTGTCCAGGTCACTCGCCTGTGTGAGCCACACTTCATAAATGCACTTATTTACATCTTAAATCTTTATTAAATTTCATAAAATGTATATTATATTACTCCCAAACATAAAATATAGAAATATTACATATTTGAAAAGTATAAAACACATTCAATTATTGTTGAACCCCTTTGTGCTGTTGGGTTGTTCTTAATTTGGCCTGTGTTTGTCCATTTATCCTTTCATTATAATTTTGCTGTTGATTGCAAAGATTGTAAAAATGACAACTTTTAATCCCAACAGGGGAAACCAGCAACAATCAGGAATGCATGAACATATGCTGTCATGGCTTTGCAATCAATAAATGTGGTTATAATAGAAGTCAATAGAGCAAAAGCATCCCTAACATAACCAAAGGGGAGTCAATCTGAACAACACATAGGGGCTAAATTAAAGGGGTGGTCCACAGTGTATTTTAAGGCTTGTTTGTGTTTATAAGATGCAAAGCAATGTGTGCTCATGCTTTATTTGTAGAAAGTCTTGGTATTTGTTCATATATCTTACTTTGATTATATACAGCTACTCAGCTAACATGAAAACCACTGTCATATTTCCTAATTCCTCTGATGGTCAGCTAACATAGCATACGCCAGTTATCCTTATTATTCTCTTTATGCTCTATTTCCACCTGGGGATACTCATCCCGAGGCCCTCAGAGACTATGCAGCGCCACTGAATCGACCCAAGACCAGCGACGAGATGATCCCAAGGTTTCCGTAATCCTGGACCAGGCCGTATCCTCGGCAGCTGCTGTGGTGGTCATGGAGGAGTGGAGAGCATGAGACTGATTCCTGTGACGCTCCAGGGACAGACGAGTCTTCGCTGAGGTCCAGAATTCTCCAGCCTCCGGCACCTAGACTGCAGCTCTGCACAAGACATTTGGCCAGTGGAGAAATGGTGGTGCCCAACTGAGCCTGGCTTCACTCCAGGTTTTTTAATTCTTCACTTTTGCGAACTGGTGAAGTTTTTTCCTCACCGCTGTCGCCACTGGCTTGCATGGTTCGGGATCTGTAGAGCTGCGCATGGATGGATTTGCTCTTCAGTGTTTGTACTCTCAGTATTGATTATTGCACCACACTGAACTAAGCTAAACTGAACTTGAACTCTTGAACTTGAAAACTGAACTGACACTGTTTCAATTAACTGTAATCTTCTATGTGAAGCTGCTTTGGCACAATTTACATTGTAAAAGCACTATGGAAATAAAGGTGAATTGAATTGAATTAAATAATGAGCTGTGATTCGTGGATTTGCTCCACATCAACATGAAAGGCATCACACCCCTACTTGCACAGGCTGTGCCTTTGTTGTGTAAACACTGCCAGTCAGTGTAGCTGTTAGCAGTATCACTTTGAGCCTGAGGACCTTGTTGACACTGATGCATTTTAGTTTGAAATTGCATAAGTTTTGCTACGGTTACGCCATCCGTCCACACTACGCCGGAGTTTTTGAGCGCCAAAAACAGAGCGTTTTGGAAACGCCGGAGAGGCCATTTTCATTCTGAAACGCTGCTGCTCCGTCTCAGTGTGGATGGGGGAAAACAAAGACATCTGAAAAGGGAGGCGTTTTGGAAAAATGCATGATGAGCTGCTTCTAATCTGAGGAGTTTCAGCCGAATCCAGAAATAAACTGAGAGAGATTCTAGAAGCTGTCCTTTGTCAAATGCTAGAGCTATATCTTTATTATACGTCTCTGGAACATAATTAATTTAAACTGTAGGCTCTTCTCTCTTTGTGTCGTGTCCTCTGGGAACCCAAATACAGAAACAGAATAAGCTCTGTGGAAATAGCATTTTAGCTGTCTCTGCTATAGCATTACAGCACCTCTGGCCACGCCCCATTGCGTGGTTATGCATGTAACCTGAATCGTCTGCGATCTCACTAGCCCGGAAGTATTTGTTTGTAGTCCCCAAATTTCATTGGCTGTAGGCTTTGCTAAGCTAACTCTGTAAAAGTCAAGGTCTCCCTTTGCATTGACCTTTGAGCGTCTTACATTCAGAGATGTTGTTTATATTCACACAGCTACAGTACACATCAGCTACAGTTTAACATGATATGATAGTGGACCACCCCTTTAAAGCACTTTGTCCAAAATCTAAGCACTTTTCAAACCATGAAAGCACTAAATTAAACTCAAACATTTCCAGCATCCTGAAAAGCAACACATGCTTTGGCTCCCCTGAGTGTTTCTCAGTGTGGTAAACAGAGTAAAATAGGCAGGGTTCATACACATTTTTACTAATAAAATTCCAGGACTTTTCCAAAACTTTCAGATAAATATTGATGACCTAATGCTTCAAATAATGTCTACGTGCATGTGGTAAATAAGAAAAAAATGTTAGTTCAAATTCATTACAGCATATCAAAAATTATGTGAGAAACTAAGTAGTTTATGTTTTTTTATACCTGTAAAATAGGTTTTAGACAATATCTTGTGTGAAAATGTTTAGAAATGCTGTCTTGTGTCTACAAGACTTATTGAATTAGCACAAATTAGCAACCCAAGCTCATTCTGGAAACGTAGCCCCGCGGACGTTTCTGGAGACCGCGATTTACTAGCCGGAGGTACGTACGGACGCGTTTAGTTTTTTTCGAGCGAACGCTGCGGGGCGGTGTGGCGCCGCTCCGCTTCTCCTCGCCGCGCTCGCCGGCCGACGGCTGGCCACCGAATGGAGGGCTTTCCCGATGCAACCAGTTTGTCCGCTTAGCTCACAGTGTTGCGTCGGCGGAGCGGAGGCCCCGAAGGAGAAGGAGGAGGAGCCGGCCGCGGGGACGACGACCGGGATCGAGTCCGGGGAACAGCGGTTCCAGAAATCAGGTAAGATGAAAAACGGAATCTGAAAAATAAGAGCGAGAATGCGGCAGAGAATGCGGCGGGATCCGAAAACACGGTCGAAATCGAAGACGAGGGCTTATGCTTTTTTTTTTTCTGGACGGCTTTTGCGAACCGTCGCTCGGGTTTAGGGAAGGAGGAAGAGGAAGAGGAGGGTGGCCGAGTCGGCCGATCCAGTGGCTTTTCGCGCGAGAACGGCGCGGGCGTGAACGGCGCGCGCTCCCGAGAGGCGCCCGAGACGCGAAAAAGCGCGCACAGCGGCCTCTCGCGGATCCGCGAAAAACAAAAACCGCTCAAATACGTACGTCCCGGGATGTAAATCGCGGTCCGCAGAAACCTCCGCGGGGCTACGTTTCCACAATGAGCCCGGGTTGCAAATTAGCCTTTACACCCACATTATCTTACCTCTGTAGTTAGAGATTGTTTCTGGACATGACACTTGAAATGTATCTTGAATTATGATGAATGCAAGTGAAAGAGAGGTGAAGCTGAAACTGCAAGTGGCTTTTTGCCCCACACAGAGATGTCACGTGAAGAGATAGACATCGCAATTGTATTTGAAACTTA